GCAGAGAAAGGAAGGCTGACAAACTACTTATTAAAAAGAAAACAGAAGAGGATGGGGAACTAGAGAAAAGGTGAAGAAGCAAGAGCAAACCCTTCATTGCACTAACAGGTAAGAAGATACAAAATCAAACCCATAGAAATTCCCATGAACGCACGGGAAAGAACACTTCTTAAAAAAAATCCCACACCAAACAAAGAAATCACTCAAGTAGCTTATGAAGCAGGCACACCAATAGCCAAACACCAAACTGCCAAGAAAATGAAGATGAAATAGACTTCTCACAAATAAACACCAGAAGAAATAAAAAATTACGACAAACAAACAAAGCCAGCCTCAATAACACATACAATGAACCGTGTTCAACAAGATGCATTGTTAAAGCGTGTCCATAAAAGATTCCAACTCCACACTATGGACTGATGTTCAACAAATGCATCGTTAAAGCTGCACCAAAAAGATTCCCACTCCCCACTATGGACTGATGTTTCAAACAAAAATGCATGTTAAAGCTGCACAAAGGATTCCCACTCCCACTATGGACTGATGTTCAACAAATGCATGTTAAAGCTGCACAAACCGATTCCACTTCCCACTATGGACTGATGTTCCAACAAATCCGCATGTTTAAAAGCTGAACAATAAAGATTTCCACTCCCACTATGGACTGATATGTTCAACAAATGCACTGTTAAAGCTGCACAAAAGATTCCTACTCCCCACTATGACTTGATGTTTCAACAAATGGCATGTTAAAGCTGCACAAAAGATTCCACTCCCACTATGGACTGATGTTCAACAAATTGCATGTTAAAGCTGCGACAAAGGAATTCACTCCCACTATGGACTGATTGTTCAACAAATGCATGTTAAAGCTGCACAAAAGATTCCACTCCCACTATGGGACTATGTTCAACAAATGCATGTAAGCTGCAAAAGGATTCCACTCCCACTATGGACTGATGTCAAACAAATGCATGTTAAGCTGCACAAAAGATTCCACTCCCACTATGGACTGATTGTTCACAAATGATGTTAAAGCATGCACAAAGGATTCCACTCCCACTATGGACTGAATGTTTCAACAAATGCATGTAAAGCTGCACAAAAGTTCACTCCACTATGACTGATGTTTTCAACAAAATGGCATGATTAAAGTCTGCACAAAGGATTCCACTCCCACATATGGGACTGATGCTTCAACAAATGCATGTTAAAACTGCACAAAAGATTCCACTCCCACTATGGACTAATGTTCAACAAATGCATGCGAGAGTAATACCAGACAGCTGGAGATCAGCTAAGATCAATATCCTATATAAAGTAAAAGGAGACCCGACAAATGCAAACTCTCACAGAGGCATAGCTGAAAGATATCATTCAAAATATTCCCCAGACCTGGCATCCAGTCTTTAAGAAATAGATACCTTCATACCAGAACATCAATTTGGTTTTACAAGGGTAAGACCACGCAACAGACAAATAAATATATAATAGAATAAACGAAACCACACTGAATTGGCCATAAAGTATCATATTACTCGTTCATTAAACATTTGCAGATGGCGGAATTAAGAACCACTGTTTTGAAAGTGAAGGCCCAATCACACATCAGAGAATGCACAAATAGTGCCGATGTTTAACAGTATCCGACCAATGCTGAGAGACAGTCCAGAAAAAAGTGCTTTGTCTGTTTTTTGTCGTTTCTGTGATGTTTGTGGAAAAATCAAATCCACTTCAGTATAAGAGTGCATTCTGGCAGTAAATTAATTATAAATAATGTAGTGAACTATTGGACAGGGGCAAAGAAAAAGTAATCATTAATACCATTAGAAAGACCTATGGACAGAGCTGCAGTACAATACACTGACATTGGCAATGCATGCTATTCTCAAAGGCATGGGAATTGTTTATTCATCCTTTGCACATCTCTATTAAACAATAGTTGGGATCTTACTGCAATGAGCGGGCCTATATACCGCTCATTGCCTTATATATCATATCTAATCTAGCTATACTTACTGTAGGTGTGTGATTCACATAAACAGAACCCATTATCTAAAAAACCGAAAACTTGATAGGAGAAACATACCCTTTCAATGTAATGATAAAGAGCATTCTAACAATCAAATTTAAACTAATGGAGTGACTACTTTAAATATAATCACCCAAGTAAATGGAGTGTTACAGGGAGATCCTCTTAGCCCTATGCTGTTCAATATTGCTACAGCCAACATTTCAACCCTCCTAAGGGTATTGCAAGAAACAATGATTATATATGCAGAAGATACAATCCTCAGAAGAGCAAAGAAATGAGACTTGCAAGAAACACCACTCAAATTAGAGAAATGGGATTGGTGAAACCCTTTAACACTGACACAGAGAAAACCGTGCGGATCTTTAGAAAAGGTGGAGGAATCTCTACAGATAATGCATTGTATTTGAAGAATGAGCCGCTGAAAATAGCTAAGAATTTCAAGTACTTATGAATGACCCTACAACCACCATTAACATTCTGCCAACACATACAGGAGAAGACAGCTGCAGTCACCTAGTCATCATTAACCTAACATGGCAATCACTAGCAACATCTATGACACTATTCAGAACCATAATTTCACCAATAATCACATATGGAATAGTTAGATATGAGAGAAATTAACAGACAGTGATCTTAGGATATAGAAAAGGTAAAAGCCCGCTTTATTAAAATAGAACCTTCAAGGCTGTTATGATTTAGAGAAAAACATTTTACACAGAAGACTTACAAGCGACACTTCTGCTGCCACCTACCTCTCCGTACAACACACTTATAGAAGAAAGAACATAAAGAAACGAATGCCAATAGAATCAGATTTCTACATCACCAGCATTACACTCAATCAAAACTGGGAAAAGACAAAAGACATGTTGTGACAGTAAAGAATAATACTTAACTCTCTCGCGCAAACCTTCCTTGTTAAATAAAAACAAAAAGGGAAAAAAGGACCAGATTTTGGCTTTCTCCCTCACTGTGTTCTTCGTGAAAGAATCTACTTGTGCAAGAATATGGAGTGTATTAATCTGAATAACTATAGTATTCTTGAACTCTAGAAAATGTGCAAGGATTGTAAAGTATCTCCAGAAACAACACATGAGGCCATCTCAACATTCGCTCAAAGATCGGGGAAACTTGATGAAAAACCTGATTGAAATGGGAGTAATTGACCCTGAAGCTCAACTATAATACTTGTTACAGGCATATTTAGTTTTAAAATTATATAGTCCAATTGGTAACTAATTAATTTAATATCATTGTTAAAATCAATATCACTTTCCTTTAGCTCACTATAGTCTTTAATTGCATAGAAACAGAAGCAGAAGCATAGCAGCAGAAAATATTTTACATGACACTTACACTTTTGAATTGATTGTGATCATTTGAAGTCCATGGGCAATGCATTTGTAGAATTTTGTTCATGCGTTGAATGTATTTTTTTGTAGCAGCCTGTTCAATACTTTACTGTTGACCTAACAATGTCTCCTACACATGGGTCTGTTTTCTTAACATAGAAAGTGATACTGTCCAGCTACAGAGACAGAATGGTCTATCCAGGTGTAAAGCTCCAAAACGTTAGAAATAAAGTGCAAAAGATACAATAATGAATTATTTTAGAAGTAAACAAGAATGCTTAATCAAAAAAGTCTCAAAGATGCCTTAAATCCTTATGGCAATACCTCTTCCCTAAAGGCACGTACTCATGTTATGTAATGGGGTTCCTTGATTTCAAACATTTGATTGCAAATATAACGTTAATTAAACTCAATTAAATTAATTCCATATCAAAATAACATACTAATGCGTTAATGTAACCCCACATTTGCACGCCAAGTACACAGTATGTAACATCTCATGTTTCTTTTGTCCTCGCTATTTTACATCCCCTACCAACAATTTGGAAAAACATAAAAACCAAAATTAAGAAAAATGATAATTTCCTCTACGTTACAACGATGTACACAGTTGCTTCAATTTTCGTTGAGTGAACACGTATTAAATTACACTTACTTTTGAGAAAAAACTATTTGGTTATTCATCGATAGCCAGTTATTGTCATAACCATCACTATTTGCTAATTACCTCATTTTCTGTACTAATACCTATAATATTCTTCTAATTAACAAAAAAAAGATTGCAATGGACCCCTGCAGATTTTAATTTTTCATTCACAACACCGAAACAACACACTATTTCGCGGAGAATAAATCACGGAAAATTATCAACGAACAAAATCAATATCATAAAAAAATCAGATCACACTAAAATATGAAATTTTAAAGGGCTTACGAAATCCTAGTTACAATCATAATCAGCACAATACCTCGGATCACCCTCAACCTGTCCTCGACTGACAGCAAGTGACAACCATTGACTTGACACTTTGACAGTAACACGCGTAACACAGCAATATACTCTTTGAGCAATAGCACCAAGAAACGAATCGTGCTCACTTGCCCGTGTCAAAGAGTAATGACAAATGGTAACAAACAAGACATGACAGGAAGACACCGCGTGTGCCATTCCCGACACAACCAGGATGAAAGTTTCTTGTATTTCGTGACCAAGATGTAAATACCATATTATGAAATATGCTTTACATTATATAAATTATTATGAAATTTGCATGATAACGTAAATAACGTTGTTTACATATACCTTACATCATTCCTTTCTTACACGACGTAAATAAAATATTTTTTACATCATGCTCGTGACCATATCCAGAGTGTTTATAGATCATCTCCAGGGAAGACGGGGTGCTGAAAAGCTTTTACCTGCAACGAACTGCGCGAAATTATAGAATGTCCAGAATGATGTCACAACGTTTGGCGGGAAAGGGGTAGGTGGCAACCTCTGCTGCAGAGTAGCCATATCGGCGGAATTCCCGCCGTTTTCAGCGGATTTTGAACTCGTACGGCGGAAATTAATAAAGACGGTGGAAAATAAGCGGAATTTCAAATATTCACTATTAAGGCCTGGACATATATAGTGTTTGAGCAGAAACATTTTAAAATAATAATAAAAGACATATAATTCAGTCTACATAAGTGCGTTATATTATTATTATGTAATCTTAAATAATCTTTGAGGGGGAAAATCCAGAATGTATTGTGATGGTATTACTCGCGCAACTTTTCTTGAACGATGACCTTGATCCCCCTCCCTTGTGCAATAAACAGTTGAAGGCAAAAGCTCGCAGCGGGCACTGATGACAACCTTCCAAGCATTAAAACTTCGTTGGCGCGAAACAGAAGCTAGTCAAAGCCAGTTGCTTTCATAGTGCAGAACTCCTGTTCTGATTTAGTGTCAATATCGAAAGAAATGACTTAGTGAAGTCCAGTTCCGTCAAGAGAGTCACCTAAAACTCCCGAAAAAGTTAAGCACAAGATTCAGTTTTGACTTTCATTTCACAGACGTTGGCATTACTGAAAATACTCTAGTGGCCGACTTTGTAACTAATACCCCCACTCCACCCGAAATCGTCAATCCATCGTTCAAGAAAAGTTGCCCGAGTAATACATTAATAAGTGTTTTATTTGAAGACCGAAAAGCGCAGGGGTCTTGGTATAGAGAGAAGCTTGGGGTGGAGATCCTATGTAAAGGAAACGATAGCACAATTATGGTAAAATTAGGATTTATTCTAGCATGAAATGAAAAGCAAAGATAACATAATGCATTAATTTAATCAACCTCGCTTCTATTACCTTCGGAAAATCAATACGTGAAATCTCGATTTAACGGCCTGCCAGTGAGTGAGTGTCCATGAGTCTCTGGTCCGTGATTGAGATATTCTGTGTTGCATTTAGCACTTGAATGGCTCAGTAGAACAAGGGCCACATTGACCCAATTCTGGGATAATTAGGGTTTTACATAAACTTCCCTCATAAATCTCAGTACATTTTTGAACTTTTAAACATAGTACACGCGCATATACTGGGTTTAAATAACAAAATAACATATTACTCTAAAAGAATTATATTTGAAATATTGTATAATGCTAATAACGCAATTTCACAAAAAAATGTGGGGTAGCCCCTTGTTCTACCGAGACCTTCAATTGTCATACGCATGAAATTGGTGTTATTTTGATATGAATAGTGAAAAAGTAGCACAAAAGTTATTAAATAATTGATCTTCACTTTCATTTGAAGAAAAGAAACAATTAATTGATAATGGGCGACCATGTCGTAACCTCACGTTGTCGACATGTCTGAAGGGAAAATGTATTACTGGAAAGATACATTTTCGGAAAATACTATGAAGTATCAAATTGACTTTGTGGATGTGATGTGATTTATAATTTTTTTTATTGGACATGTTTATTGATCACTACAAAGAAAAGTGTTTAGGATTACGAAGGCTATGGGAATTTGAATCATAATACTGGAGTGAAAAAGCACTGTGAGTCAAAAGCACATCATTTGGTTTTTTGAACAACTTTATTTCCACCCCAGGTAGAACTAATTTTTTTATACCTAACGTAAAATTGAAATAGAGTTGCACAACGAAACAATAAAAGGAGAAGGAAAATCTCGAGGGGGTTCATGCCTGCTTAGCAAAACCAAAATTACCTTTCCAAGACCACGATAAACATGAACAAACTCTAAATAAAAGAAATTAAATGGAATTCCTTATAATTTTCAGCTGTCGGTTTCTTTTTGGTCGCACAGAAGAAAGTCGTTAAACGGTTTCTTAGATTTTATGATTTTTCCCCCTTGTTAACAAATAGAGGTTTTCAATCAACATGACACCAGCACCATTTTCATTCATGTCTTTCAGACTATCCACCAACAAAATTTCACCAAAAAGAAATTAAACTTATAGAAATTATTTTAAACCTATTTGAAATAAAGAATGCTAACCTTCATTCGTTCGCTCCCAAATTACTCAGTTAGATGCTATGAAAGTTACAATTTGAATATTCTTTCTTATTTTATTATTATTTATGTTATTTCATTTTAAATTGCGTTCTTTAACTGTGTTAAATGTAACAAAGAATAGATGAGTGTTTATTGTTCTTATCCAGTGTTGTAACGCCGCACAGATTACATGATTATGACGGCTGCTTTTCTTTCGCGGAAATAACCAGTGGTGGTAAATACGCATGGTTTAGTTGCTAGTGGTGTTCACGGCTAGATGGACGGACAGACAGAGGGATAGATGGACGTTTTGAGCACAACACTTATTCGCAATCAGGGGACCGCAAAACGTGTATTCCCGTTGAAATCTTGAATCCATTTTCCGCAGAATTTCATAACTTTCCCTATACTGTGTATATAAGTATGTATACGGGAAAGTAAACTAGAGGTGCTACAGAATAGCACAGACTTTCCCATATTAGTTTTCTATTTCTTATGATATCGGCTAGCTATACGAACTTACCATATAATCTTGCTAGCTGCCATATACTGCCGCCCACAGTATATTTTTGATATTTCCTTAATTTTTCGGTTTCCTAATAGTAGAACGGATATATTATTTCATTGATATTAAATAATAGTAAATCCACCTTTGAACAATTTCAATTTACTTCAAAAAATTTAGAGCCGCTCTCTTTAAGAAAATGGCTCTTTGGGAAAATCATAACATGCCACATTTAATAGTGTATGTTACTCTAATCTTGCAAGAAATTTAATGAAAAAAATTGAAGCCGTTTTTGAAAAAATGTTGAAAATGTCTTTGGGACTTCATGCAGAGTACCCTGAGCTTTAATGAATGATTTTCAAAATCTCAAAGCTTCTTATCGAGACAGATCGACAGGAGTTTAGTTTTGGAAAAATATCCTACGTATAATTTAGGCGCTAATATGTTCACAGACGGACGGACGTTTTGCCGTCAATTGGTTTTCCGTTATCAAGGACACACAAAACAGGGATTCTGACCATGCCATGTGTTCGAGGATTTTTTTTTAATTAGCAACTGGATTTATCCACTTTTACGTTATCAGGACCCGGCTATGAATTTCTTTCTGCCGAAAATATAGTTTTTTCACGCAGCTTTACATAACTTTCTCTATACTACGTATATTACTCCGTATGTATACGAGAAAGTAATATGGACGTGCCGCTACCGACTAAGGCCTGACATACGAGCATTGTGTTGACGTGCGTCGTAGATTAATACGGTCTTATGCGGAACGGCCGAAAGGGCTGTGCCGTTTCACATAAGATAGTGCTAATCAGCGACACGCGTTAATTAACCTGCGACAACGCAACGTTCGTGTGACACAATCCTAAACTGGCCAGCCGAGTTTTAATTCAACGAACTCTCAAACGCTTTTGCGAGTTCCATCTTCTAATCCGTTAATCACTGCGCAAGCACAGTAGAACCATCCGTGCGTACTACTGCTGTTCAGAAAACATCGGGCCGCCCAATGCAGCTACAGTACCGGCAGCATATAAGCGGCTCTGATAGTGTTCTCGCCAAAGTCAAGATACGTCATGTGACCTGCTCTGTCATAACATAAGTAATTAGGTTGCAAGGTTTTGTATACGTTATTTCAGCCAAGGTTCATAGTTGTCGCTCATCTGACTCACACGCAGTCGTGGAGGCGATAAGGTTCGGTTGTGAACATGATATAAAGACGTGATCGCCTGTCAGTATGAGGTAATGTTTTGAGATTTTATTTACCTTGTAGGTGGCGCCAGGTGCGTAGTTAGGTGGGGCAACAGCGCATAGAATTGCCAGTAGCGTATACGCGGCCGGTACTGTAGGCATTGTTATTCGTGGCAACGCGTTGGCAATAACGCACGTCGCCAAGAGCGCTCATGTGCCGTTTCGCACAAGATATGGTGTTATATCTACGATACATTTATTCTACGACGCGCTTTGAATGACTTATATGAGAAAGCATTGACGGAGCTGATGGAATCAGCATTAAGTGACACGCGTCAACGCAACGCTCATTGTGTCACAGGCTTAAGTCTCCGTAGCGCATTCTGAAAGTCTTGGAAGTGCATTGGACCTGGTGACCGCCACAACTGAAGGGCTTTCTTGTGCCACTGCACTGTGTACGCATTTGTCTTTGCCGAGTAGTGCATTTATGCGTGAATCCTTGATCTATTAATCGATTCATTCTATCTTCATCCTCCATGTCAACTGCACTATTTATTTTCTCTTTACATTATCTCCGCACACCCATTTATGATTATTTTACCCTTTAAACGCTCCACTTTTATCTTCATTTTATAAGAGGTAATTCATATCTATAACACTCAGTCACAAAATCCCCAAAAGAGCAAAATTCCTGTGGCAACACTCCAAATATATAAGGCCACACGAGCGTCGCGTTCACGCGCGCCACCCGCGACAACGCGCACACGGCTCTCTAACCGCACGTCGTAGATTAATTAACATTACCTATATTTCGATTTATTTACAGTGGCGCCATAAGGTCTCAAGCTGGAAGAGGACAGTGTCCATCAATCGGTAGCTTCAATACCAATAATTTAAATCGTAGCGAAGCTTCCGATTGGATGACAATGTCGTCCTCTCCATCCAGCTCGTGGCCTTGAGGTGCCACTATGTTTAAATCGAAGTATATGCGAAACGACATCCAAGACCTCTCGGCGTCGTGCAGCTTTTTATGTGCGACGCCCGCTAGGCGACGCGCGTTGGCAACAACGCAAACTGCCAAGAGCGCTCGCTTGCCGTTTCGCACAAGATATTGTTAATCTACGACGCGCCTTAAGTGACTCGTGTTCACAGCCATCGACGCAGGTTAGCGTCATTAGGGTTATGACGCGCGGCAACGTCACGCTTGTAAATTTAAAACAAAAATTTGATGGTCAGAGTCGTTAAATGCTTTAAAAAGATCTAATAATATATCAATATTACCTTCATTCTGAGCACCATTCTTGTATAGAAAATCCGGTCTATAACTTCAGAAAAATATCTGACCAAAAGTTTTCCGATCATTTTGAAGTTCATGCTTGTTGTCTCCTTTGAAAAGCAGCTTAATCTTATGCTTTAAAACTGTTCTGGATATTCCACTACATAAGAAAGCATTGAATACAGTCAGCCTCCGACTTACAAGTGTTTGAATTAAGAGAACTGGACAAGCAAATCAAATCGAAGACATTTTGACAACACTGCACGAAACCAAATCACCACTAAAGCTCTTGATTGACATTATCCAACTACCATTCATATGGGTGAAGTACACCTAGGAGTAATTTATCACCCTCCATGAAGATTGTCAAACTCGCCTTCCAAATGGTACTCAATGAAGTACACTGCATATTCTGTAAATTAAATATAATAGTCTACTTCATATAGTTAATTATAAAAGAATATCACTTCCTAAACCCCTCTCATTGTGCTCGATGGAATGCATTTCATAGAGCAGCTACTCTTCTTGACCTTCAAATATTAAGATTTAAGAGAGGTTTGTGGCAGGGGCAGAGAACAACAGAGGCCCAGGACAGTTGATCCACAGGAGCCCCTTTATTTCAAACACAACATTCCTTCCTCCGCTAATTCATAAACAATTATTTTCTCCATGCATCAGAAATTATATAAAGCATCAAATTTGAATTAGAGATGAATAATTTTTTTGTATGAATGAAAAAAAAGAAAAAAGAAATGAGTTGCGATAAAGCCTGGGGCAAGCTGTCCCACCTGTTTACAGGTCAGTATCTGTCTTAAATTAGGTTGGACTTTAACGTCAATTAACAGATGTTTAGTTGAAGGGCCACAAATTTTTAATGAATTTCTTAAACAAGCCTTAATTGTATAACTATTTTTACTTACATAAGACAAAATGTTCATTATATTTTGATGTAGATGCAGTTACATATTACCCTACAATCATTCACCATCGATCTATTAAAACAATGCATCAGAGCAGGGATTATAACTCACTTTCTTATTACGTCCAAGCTCTATAAGAAATTTGAACAACAATTAACAGTTGCAGAAACAAACCATTTTAAATCTGTACCTATTCTATTCCAGAAATTCAAATGACCAGTGTGTAATATGCAACATCAGTTAATGAAATTAAGCACTTTCAATTTATTTTTATCCATTCTCTTTTCCACTTTAACTTGGTCAGATTCTTCACACCAGTGTAAAATAAAAAGGTAACAGACTTGTTACACATAATACATCACAATAATTAATTTGAGGATGAATTCTTTACCACATTCCCCTAATGTGTTAGAACTTAAATTAAGTTACAAAATATTTGCTCTTATCAGCAAGTAGAAAGAAAAAAGAAAAAAAGAAAAAAGAACTTCACAAGCATGAAATAAACATATCACATCCTCTCCAATGGACAAGAACATGTTTAATCTGTTCTGATTTATCAACCACCTCACATTCCATCACTTAACAATTCAGGTACAATTTTATTTGTAAGTATATATGAAGGGCATTTTATAAAATAATTTCCTTAAATGATTTTGAATACATGAGGGCTTTTGGCATATCGTTTCATTGAATACAGTGAAAATAACAGCAGTTCACATTTTCTTCTTGTGGGAAAGCAAGTAACGCAATCTGAAAGTTTCTTCATTAAAAAAATAAAACCAAAGTAATAACTGCTGGTACTATTTTGGGTCAAGTTTTAGTGCTGACAGTACTTGTTTCAGGAACATCAGTGCCACTGTAAAAAATTGTACTATTGGAGATGCAGCAGCATTTCCTAGATAGTTAAGATGACCACCTTCATGATGCTGCTGCTGCTGCTGCTGCTGCTGTTACCTCCCTAGCCACTTATGTCAGCCATTCCAAAATTCATTTAAAAAAAGAAGCTCAAAATTGTAAAACGAAGTTATAAATCTCTTATTAATTCCTGGCAGTGAGCCACATAAGGACTTATATATGTTAAGTAAATGCTTTCATATGATTGAGAACTGAAAGGACAAAACAAAAACAAAAAAATAGCAAAAAGGTCGTTTCACAATCATGGATTAGGTCATAAACAGAAATTAATTTTTTTTTACATATCTGAAAACTAAATACTTTTTCTTCTGAATGAACAAACAATATTCTTGTCTAAAGAGTTGGTTATTGTGTACCTCTGAGGAATTGTCAATGCATTGATGTGTTAAAAAATTGTTGCAGCAATTACTCTAAAAAAATAACTGATTTTTGTACTGGCAAGTACATAGTTGTTATAATTAATGATGCTGGTATTGCATACATATCTTATGAACCTTATGATTGGTCATAAGTTCTTTGTAATCTTGTTATGACCATTATCCAAGCTGAAAATTTACAATGAAGTATACACCATGTTCAAATAGAAAGAGATATACACATTACAATTAAATAAATGTGATAATTAAAGCAAAATTAAATTGAAATACGTGGTGTTAAATTATTATAAATGTATTAATTAGTGTAGTAGTTAGTAGCCAGTTAGAAGAACATTATTTCTCCACCCACTGGCTAGATCAGTATTCCCTCAACTATTCCAGTACACTTTTATTTTCCCCCATACAATGTGTGGAGTATATCACACTACTGAAAAAAAATATCAATTATTATTTTAAAGCATGGCTAGGGCACTTGTTACTAATTTTTGTTCTTTCAATTTTGCTATGAAAAACAAAATTAACAATATTCAATTCAGAAATAAAAATTGTATCAATAATAATAATAATAATAATAATAATAATAATAATAATAATAATAATAATAATAATAATGACAACAACATCTTAAATGATAATATCCAGTTTTCTAAAGGACTCAAAAATAGTTCAAGCTTTTCAATATTCTTCTATGAAGTCCCTGATTTTGCCAGGCTTGTAAAACAATGACAATCCTTAATTTTTCCATTATTTCCAGAATGTAGCCACTCTGTAATGATGATGAAAACTTTTGTCAAATAGTTGCACTTGTTTCACTCCACACACAAAAAATAATGTGTTTCCTTTTTCTTTTCAGTTGCTTCTTGGGTGCAGAAGTTTGCTAATCAAACGGGACTCCGTCAGATCCCAAGGAATCTTTCCGCAATTGTTTCTGACATTTCTACTAGCCTTAGCTTTAAGAAGTGCTTTAACCGCGGTTACATTGCCATGCACAGCTGCCCAGTGAAGAGGTGTGTCCCCCCTGGCAGTTTTGACAGCAACATCAGCATGTTTGCTGAGGAGAAGCAAGACACTTTGACCTGAGGCATCAGCTCGGGTAGCTAGATGCAATGCAGTAACACCATCACAGTTCCTAGCATTGACATCACAATATCCCTCCAGCAATGATGACATAATGACTAGATGGTTATTTGAAGTTGCTACGTGCAGTGGTGTCTCCCCACAACAATTCCTGGCATCACCCTTAGCCCCTGCGTTCAGCAAAAGTGAAACAATTCTGTCCTGTCCAGCCTTCACCGCTTCATGCAAAAGCTCATTCATTTCCTTATCTGACAGTCTGACAGCAGCTCCCTCTACCAATAGCTTCAGAGCAGTCTGCACATTACCTTGTCTGACAGCCACAAGAATATCATTTTTTGATCTGAAGATGGTATCCAAAGAGGGAGTAAGTGAGGGCTTTCTTTCAACAGAACACTTGGAAGAGAAAAAAAAAGAAGTAGTTGCAGCGGGGGAGACAACACCATCAGAGGAAGAGTGTACGATAGTAGAGGCAAATGGATCATCAGATGGCGGGGAAGTTGGGGAAGCAAGCAAAGGAGAAGCTGTCGCTGGGGTCACACTGGTACATAGCTGATTCTCCAAAGCCTCAACTCTAGAGCAAAGCGACGCCAGAGTACTAGCAGTGTCACTGGCCAGACTCTCCACATCCTCCAGGCGGTTGGCAGCCTGACTGATAGCTTCTTTCATTCCTGACTCATATTTTTTTCCACCAACAACCAACTGTGGCCTCTGCTCTATATCCATCACTTTCGTCTCTAGCTTTTGCATTTTCTCAAACAAGCTCTTCTCCAATTTCTGCATCTTTTCTGCCACACTTTGCATAATTTCTTTGAAATACATTGATAATCTTTTATCAATGATTGACGATACCTTAGACTCCAGAGAACCCATCATATGCTGCTCCTGAGAATGCAAAGCCTCATGGACTCTCTGATACAAATATTCTCTTTGAGCCCGTTGTACTTGCGACACAGCCTGTGCTAACTGTTGGTTTGCAACATCAAGTGATTCATGAACACTGTCATCTTGGGTAGACACATACCCATCAAAGTCATGTTGTAACAGTTTGGCCATTGTCTCATGAAAAAAACCTGAAAAGTTAAGACATTGGATTAAAACAGTTAACTACAATTCAATCACATGTGCCTAGTAAAAAAAAAATCTTATGAGTTATAAACTCAATGGTGTACAGCAATGGTTCTCAAACATTTGGAATGTATTGAAATACAGGGAGGTACAACACAAACAAATATCAATTGATTAGCAATATTACAAAAGAAGTATCCCAGAAGCATATTTAAACTTAAACTAGTAGTCTTTTAGAGACTACTTCATTAAATATGAAATACTGACCCTTGTAGCTCTCTATTTATACAAATTATTACAATTATTAAGGCTCAACCACAATCAATATTTAATAATTAACAAAGAAATTATGTATAAAAATAACATTCAAAGACATAGACTTCAACATAGATTCAAAGACTCTCACAGGGTATATGCTAAAAGTTGATGGTTGAAGATCCATACTGCATGGCAGCTCTACTTTTCAAAAAGCTCACAGTTAATATAAAAGCAGCAGTTCAAACATTCCCTAAGTGACACTTTGTAACTATGTCCATATAAACTGAACGAGTTGCTGTAAAGTTCAAGCAATAGTTTTTAGGATTCAATAATTAATTTACTTGTACCATTGATGTTATATCACCAACTCCAATCATGTCAAAGCATTGTAAGCTACTACAATTCTATTTTCCAGATTTTTAACTTTTAATAACCACATTAAATTATTACTGTATGCTGATGTAATTTATACTTCTGAGCTTACATAATGGTTCTTATAGATTATTGTAATATGAAATAATTACTACTGTAAGGTAATGTAATAATTTACTAATGCTACTATAGTAAGTGAAGTAATTTAATTACTATTGTTACCAAAGAAACAATGTTATCCTGAAATCGGCCTTAGCTGATACTTGTGTAAGACTACAAGTCATAAAACTAGTTGTTGTGGCTGTTAGTTTTTATTTTTAACAACTGTATTCATATTTCTTGCACATGATTTAAGTTTAATATGTTCTCATGATGAGATTTCACCTTGACCTCGATTTCTCATGAGAGGAGAAGTACGAAAATGTGTAATGGGCTTTGAACCCATCAACAGAAGAATATGTAAGCTACATACAAAAGGGAAATTTTGTAATATAATAATGGTAAGTGTCTATACTCCAACAGAGGAAATGAGAAACTCTATAGTGAAGTGATGAATGTATATGATCAAGTACCTAAATATATTTTATTGATACTAAGAGATTCATATGCAAAGATTGGAAGGGAAACATCGAATAGTAAGGTCGCAGCAATACATTCTGCTATGAGCGATAATGACAAAAGAATTATACAACTGGTGCAGTCACAAAATATTATTATAAACAGCACAAAATTCATCCTTAAGAATATTCATAAAGGGACCTGGAAAGCATCAAATGAGAATGTGGTAAATCAAATTAATCATGTACTGGTGAACAGGAGAAAACAAAGATGTGTTATAGACATCAAAACATTCAGGGGTCTGAACTGTGATTCTAATCACTTCTTGTTAGGAATTAAAGTACGATCAAGAATTAATATCTAAAGACCTACAAAAATACACAAAAGGTAGAAAATGAAACGTAGGCAAACTTAAAGAAAGGCAAGTGAAATTACAATATAGAACAGCAATAGAAGGCGCTCCTGAAGAAAAAGGTGTTTCTCCAGATATAGAATTGAAATGGGAGAACATCAGAAGCTTGATACTGCATGCTGCTGACAAAACTTTATGAGTATGGCCCCAGGGAAGGAACACGAGTTGATTTGATGATGACCATAGTAAAGCCATCGCAGAAAAGAATGAAGCATGAAGCAAATGCCTGCTTAATGATACTAGATCAAATAGTGAAAACCAGGAGCAAAAAAAGAACAGAAGCTAGGGAAGTATGTAGGAAAAAAATGTGAAATGTTAAGACAGGAAATCTTTTGGAGGACAACTATAAGAAGAACTACATAAAATTCTACAAAAGGATAGAGTATCTAACTAAAATTTTAAGCCAAGAGTTAATAACATTAGATCAAAATATGGAGTAAATCCTTTCAGATCAAAATAAAATAATGGAAAGAATTTTTTCAAGGAGATAAACCATAGGAGAGCAAAGGAGTATTCAATAGTGAGGGATCCTGGGAGACAGCAATAGAAGAGCCCACTTATGAGGAGCAATAGTAAAGAACTTTAAGAAGATGAAAGCTCCTGGATATGGCAATATATACACTGAACTTGTACAACAAGGAGGAAAACAGTTGCAAAGAAGGGTATGTGAATTGTTGACAGGAATAATTGTTATGGAATAAAGAATTGATGCCAGCTGATTGGAAAACAGAAATAGTGTACCCGATCTATAAGAAGGGAGATAAAACAGAATGTAGTAACTATAGGGGATATATTCTTACTTAATATGGCATACAAAATATATGCAGAAATCATAAATAATAGGTAAATAAAGTATATTGAACATACACGGAGAATACCAAAATGTGTTCAGAAGAAATAGATCCACCATGGATAATATATTTCTTATAAGGCAGATATGAGAAATGCTATGAACATTACATAGAACTACATATATTGTTTATTGATTTTAAGGAAGCCTTCGATGAAATGAATCAATTCAAATTAGTTGAGATCCTGAAAAAAATAAGAATACCAGACAAGTTAATTAGATTAAGATGACCCTACAGTATACAACTGGTAGAATTAAAGTAGAAAACCTATTGGAATCCTTTGAAATTTCAGCTGGGGCAAGGCAAGATGACCCATTATTGGCAATTCTACTCAACCTCATTCCAAAAACTGTAATCAAGTAATTGGACATACGAGGTAATATAACCTTTAAACTGGCACAGCTTATTGCTTATGCAGACAACTTATTTATAATCGGGAGAAACAAGAAATCAGTGAGGGAATTATTGAATCTCTTGGTAAATGAGACAAAAGTAATACGTCTTATAGTTAATGAAATTACAAACTAGTATTTACATCTTACTAGATTTCCTTTGAAGAGTATTAAACAAATATAGATACACAACCATCAGTTTCAGAAGGTAGAAAACTTCAAATACTTTGACACTTTATTAAATGAAATACCAGCTGAAATTAATGAAAGAATTAGAAAAGAATAGAAGGCATATAATCCTAATTTAAAATTGTTAAGATTGAAGTTAATAACAAAAGATTTAAAGACGAGAATTTATAACACCTTAAAATGTCCAATTGTAACATATGCCTTAGAAGCCTGGACCCTCAATGAAAAATATCAACCAGATTAGAATATTTGAGAGGCAAAAAATATTACATAGAATATACAGCCCAATCCAAACGATTCCTGGAATTTAGAGAATAAAAACGAACCGAGAAATTGAAAATATAATAAGTGGCGAGGATATAATCAGAACTATGTTAAAGGCCAGTGAATAAAATGGTTACGCCATATGCAAAGAATGGATAACTGAAGGCTCCGAAAGAAAATTACGGAATGGACAGTAACAGGTCAATGGAAGACCAGGAACTCAGTGGATGGATGGCATGTGCCAGGATCTCTGGGTACCAGATGAAAGAAAATGGAGAGCAGCTAACGGGCAGGAAAAAATGGAACGCTGTAGCCCTGAATGCCAAGACCCACAAAAGGTTGTAGTGCTAACGGAAAAAGAATATGCACAGTGATAGCCTTATACCTACATACACCATTACATTGCCACCCCCACGACAGATTTTTCAATTCTAAATCAACAAATTTGATGTATAGTAATACATCAAATTGTTGATTTGGCAGAAACTTGATAGCAGAGATTTGATACTTTTGGCAGAAAGGTGTTTGATTGGCAAATAGGTCCATTACAAATTTCTAAAACTAGCGGTTTCTCTCCGGTACCTTTATATATTCACTTACATTAAAATTAAATCATAACTAAACATCTTACAAGAATTACTCAAAGATCAAATATCACTAATTACACATTTCAAAATCATAAAAATATTCCATTCATTTCTGTAAGGACAAATACCTACTCAACCTATTAAAGATACAATATCTCTGAAGACTGCAAGCACGTGATGAATAAAGCTTCAATTAGTTTGGCCTTTTCTCAGTGAGGTTTCATCCCATGTTAGAAAATGGGAATGAAAAGCATTATTACCTACAGCTCACCACATGTATTCTAAACATGGGCAAAATCTAATGGTCATAGAAATCTTGATTCTAGTAATTACTGTACATATATGCATTGGTTGTCTTTGAGGAGGTGTTTTGAAGGTTTCTTAATTGGATATACCAATGACAGATCCAGGGAGGAGCCATGGGGGCTATGGGAGTCATCTCCTCTCCCCCCCCCCCCAAGGCCTATAGTTTTTGTTTGTTACATCACTTTATTTGGCAAAATAGATTTTAAAATGTATTTATAATCGAATTATGTAATTTTTTTTTTTTTTTTTAAATTTGCATAGCATCACATATACACTATAAAAATAATATACAACATAATAATAACAAATGTTTATTATTTAACAACAATCTATGATGACCCCTCCCTAAATATCCAGCTGCATCCACCTGACGTATACCGAGTTGACGGGTTGCTTATGTTAAGTACGTTCGTGTATTGTTATACGCATTTCTATTGTGAATGTTTTGTTCTTTAATATACTGTATTATATTTTTGTGCTGTAATATATAAAAGGTGAGGCCCAAGCCCTGTAGCACCATCAAAGAAGAATTACATAAAAAGGATTTGTCTTCTAATCATAAGTTATGACCAGCTGGATGAAATATAAAATCTAGTCTAATGAATGTCATTCTGAACTTTCAACATAACAGAATAAACACAACCAGTATGCAGTTATGAAGAAAAATTCATTTGTCATCACAAACACATGAACTTATTACTCAAAACTTGCAAATTTACTTAAAATTCAAATATTAAAAATTTAATTTATATATTTATATAAAATTAATAACTAAAAATTAATCTTCCATCCATTGACGCACTCTCCAGTGTTACA